TGCAGATGCAATATCCTAATAGCAAAGATAATTAAACTGGAGTAATTTCTCTGGATGTTAGTCTCATTGTCACTCAGAATGTTTGAGACATGATATCATAACCTTCTCTAAAAATGCTTTATAATAGAATTAGGTACTATCACAAAAGACAGAAAAGATGAAAAAAATCTGTGGGCTACAGGAATTAATTCTGGTGATCAGTGCGGTCTCTGCTGGCATCAGGGCCTGCATCCCAGACAATATATGTTGGTTTTTAAGGTATCAACATCATGATTCTCATATATTTGAATAAGACTAAGGCTGTACATAAAAGTGAAAAATGATTCGTGTTGTAAGGCACCTCTGGTGATTATCTAGTCCTACCAATCACTCAAGGCAAGTTCAACTCTGAAGTTGGGTCAGGCTGCTCAGAGCTTTGTCCAGTTGAGCTCTGAGTACATCTGTGAATCCGTGTCTTTGGGCAACCTGCACCTCTGCTTAACCACGTGCAGTGTAAAAATTTTTCTGTTATCCAACTAGAATTTCCCTTGCTGCAACTCATGCTGTTTCCTTACCTTCTTCTGCCGTGCACCTCTCTGAAAAGTCTAATCACCAGTTAGGTAGATGACAATAGAAACTAAACCCTTTGGCTCGTCTCTGATCTGCACAAACGTGATTTTCTTAGTCACTGCTGTTACATTACTCTTCTGTTACTATTATTTTGGTGGACCATCACGTTTTTCCGGTTGTGAATATCTTTCTTGTAATGGTGTGTCCAAACTGAACACAGATAGTGAAGCTGGTTACTGGATACATTTAATGCAGCAATTCCATGTAATAGAAATTGACAAGAAGAATGACAGAAAAAAAGAGTAAATTAAGTGTGGTCTTTTTTTTTTCCTCCACTATTATATTGCATGTTATTTTCCACAATACAGAAAGAGTCTCAGAACCTGTGATGTAATTAGTTAAATATTATATTTATTATGACATTCATTATCTGCGTAAAGAAGTATGAAATTTAGGTAAAAGTTATGGACTGTGAAAAAACTGAAACAAACAGTTTAAAAATGTTTTCATTTAGAAAATATGTGCATATATTAAGTAAATTTGCATCCATATTCAACATTTAAAGTTGGCTATCTTGGATCTGTTTTATCATAGCTATAGTGCTGGGAGGGATGAAAGCATGGATACTGCTACATAGTTCCTACTGTACAGAGTTTGAGCGTCAACTACTATGGTGGCAACAGGAAGCTCCTTCATCATAGACTAAGGGCACAAAACTTTTTTGAGGGCCAACATCTTTATCTAGTGTATGATGCAGCCCTGTAAAACTCCCTGTTTATCTTATTAAGCAAGACCAGAAAATAAGGATGAGATGGCTCCACTGCCTCTCTATTTCCTCTTCCTCTATGTTTTAAAAGTAAAGCCACCAAACTGTACTTTGAGGTTTACAATTCTGTATGTATACTAATGGCATTTATTCGGGGCTCTATCTACATTTTAGTTACTCCTCTAGCTATTTTCTGGATCCCCAAAAGGCTCAAGAAGGAGATAAACAACTAATTTTTCATCCTGCAACAATTCTGGAGTTTCCCAGAAGTGTAAACCGTAACTACGTTGAAATTTTTGATCAGAGAGGAATTAGTTTGGGGAAATGAAGAGATCACTGAGTGAATGGCTTTGGATCACAGTGTTTGACTAAGGTCTCAAAAGCTTCCTCTTATCCTGTTTTATGGAATTAAAGCCTCAGTATCTGGCATTAACAACATAAATAAAAGCAGAAATAATGTTTCTGAAGAAGGTGGCCTTCATTATCTATGTTCATGCTATAACACAGTGTTCATTGTTTCAGTTGGCTCTATGTAAATGAGGATCAAATCACATAAATTAAATCTGAAGTAAACTGAGAATAGTCTGAAGGCAAACTTCCAGCTGTTGCCTAAACTTCTTGCTTCTATCTTGTAAAAAGTGAAGCCGTATGCTAACAGTAATAGACATACATATGCATATACATGTACATAGATAGATACATATAAATAGTTCAAGCTTCAGACACTTTTCACTACAACCTTTAATACATACCTGTTCTATTAAAATTTCAATAATTTTCAAAAGAGATCACAACACTCATGCAGGTGGGCTAGGATGGGTAACATTAAACATATGTAGATCATCAAAGTATCTAATTTAAGCTATCTGTTTGAAATATATTAACTACTTTTTCATTGTGAGTTCACAGTATAAGGTCTTATCTTTGTTTTCTAATGCATTCACCCAGAAAATTTGAGTGCTCATTCAAGGAAAAAAAAATAAATTGTATGTAGTAGCATTTATTTAGTTGGGCTTTACTGTTATTAAAGTCTAATTTCTTTCTTCTTTATGTGATAGCTATTATTCTAATGTCTGTTGAAAAATACAATTACTTTTGGTGTGTCTGCCGTGTGTCTGAGCATCAAACGTTGTGTTTGATCATTATCCAGGATTGGTAGATGACTTTTTAAAATTTTTTTACAGAGACTGCATGCTTAGCAGGGAATGATATCACATAGCATTTTCAGATACATGTTAATATATCCCTTTGGAGTGTAGAAATGAATCAACTATTTTCTTTAACTTATCCTGCTAGGATCTTAGGATTTTGCCTAAAAATCTCTAGCAAAGCATGTAGAAACTTCAGATTCAAGCTCATAAGCATGATTTGCTGTAGGCACTCTGTAGAAGAATGTAGTTAGACAATTCAAAGAATGAAAGAAGGGTCAAATAAAAAACCCAACAAATTTCTACAAAAAGTGGAAATATTAAAAAAATTTCATGATTAATCAGATGTTAATTAGCTTATGGAGTAATTATTCAAAATTGTGCTGAGCAGTGTCCGTGAGAATAAAGAAATAATCCAAATGATGGAAAGGAAAAGTTTAGGAGCAATATTGTGACTTAAGTACTCAGTTGCTCAATGAGGAAAGGAGAAAGCCTTCAGAGAATTGTCAGCATTTTTATCTGACAGTCGCTTGCTAAACAGTGGATTTTCCTGCTGGCTGTGTCGTTCCTCCTGTCTTTCCTGGCAAACATGTTTTGTAGTACTGCAGTCTCACACTGTTCAATACAGGGTGGAACATAAAAGAATGGATGCTTGTATAAATTTATGTGTGTGTATATAAATACGCATATGTGTACATATATATTTGTGGTTCTTGTAAGAGCATATAATTAAAAATAAAAACATAAATAAATGTTTCATTTTTATTGGAGAAATGATATTGACGTAATAAGCAGGAAAGGTTGTCAGTGCTTTCCTGAAATAGAACAAAGTGTCACTTTCTAACAAAGAATTCTGTCCCTTCTCAAGAAACTACTTCTTCTTATGAACTTGTCAATTATTAGTTTATTTCAGACTGTGGTTTCAGGGATACATCACTGATAAAACAGAGATGAACATATCCAACTGGTCATCATCCTAAACAATATTTTCTCTCCATGACAATATGCAGTTACTTCAGCTCTAAAAAGCATTATTTTTTGTAAAAAGGAAATGTAACTCTTTACAGCTTTTCTGGTAAAACAGATCATTTAACTTCAGAATTAAATGTGTGTATAGGGAGAGTTCCTATGTATTCTGCATTTTTTTTTCAGCAGTATCAATTGGATAGATAAAAGGAAACCTGCCCCAGAATAGTATATAGGCTGGAGGTTAGGATATTGTATCTTGAAGTACTTGCTGTGAGTGAATAAAGAATTTGAATTTGTCCCAATTGCTGGGGTGATATACCTTCACCTCTACTTAACCTTTCTCTCTCAATTCCTTTTAAAAAAAAAATCACCAAAATGAGAAGCTTTAATCCAAGTTAATGATGTCCTGATGACATGGGCATTTGTTTTTCTGTTTTATTGTGGTGGAGTTGCTCATTATTTTTAATGAAAGCTGGGTGCGGATGAGGACTATACACCTGAAAGTCAATACGGATTAAGACAAACATATCGGTTTATGAGGAGGAGCTGGGATTATTACCGGAAGCTAATTGTGGCAGATTGCTTATGCTGAGTTGCTAAGGCTGTGTCTGGAAAACTACAAACAAATACATACCAAATGTCTAATTTTTCATTGGTAAATTGTTTATCTTAAAACTCTGAATCTGGATTTTGATGACTGGGATTTCTGCATTGCACTATGCATAAACTTAAAGTTTGGAACAGATTAGCAATTGTTGCTAAGGCAGAGTGAATCGTCCTATTATCAGAAGCTATTTCAGACAGAGAGGATGTTGCTCTTTTGTTCCATTATTTGCAGCCAGGTGATCTGTAGGTGAAGTTTAAATAATTATTTTATCTGTCAAAACAGATAAACAGATAAGATCAAAAGTATTTATCAGTCTTGGATACCACACAGGCCATTGCTTTCTTTTTATATTATACAGTGGTCATTCTCCTGAGGTGCTTGAACAAAGAATACTGCTGTTTAAAGAGAAATTGGTAACAATGAGTTATCCTCAAACTTGATGGATTTTGGGACACACTGCAGTACTTGCCTGTTTTCCATTTTTCTTCATAGAAAAAGGAAAAGTGACAATGAGTGAAGTAGAATTCAATTTGCATTTAAGAAGTGTATTTATTTTCCAGAGACATTTTTCCTAGTGCATTCCTGATATGCTGCTAGCTGCTACTTGTGCATTAATATTTCTAATGTGCTTAAGATTTTCGTAGTTGTTCTGACTGTTTCTACTTGCACTGCTGTCCGTAATTCATGCCTAGTCAAAAATGGTTGTATGTAGATGAGGAAATGTTTTTGCTGAGGAAAATGTAAGTTTAACTTTTTGAGAGGCTAGTTTAGAAAATGGTCAAGGAATAGTGATTGCCCTGTGAAACATCAGATGTGGATCTGACTGGTACATGTACAGATGTTGTTATTAATTCATATTATAGATATTTATGTCTGCTGAATGCCATCTTTGGGAGACAAAATGTATTCACTGTGTGTAAGAAATCTCTTCTCTTCCCACGCAATATCAATTGAAAGGAACATGCCTGAATATGACCTTTTATATAAGGAGAATGAAAAAATGCAGCATAATTTAGGAGAGGGACAAACAGGTAAAACAACAGTTTCTATTCCCTTCTGATTTGTACGACTCCCATTTTCAAAGATTATCGCTTGTAACCTCGCCCAGATACCAGTGACAGAGAAGTATTAAACAATTAGTGGTTACAACATTTAGCGCTTTTTTCTCCTTCATTGTTTAATGTGTTCTATACCTGCTGCAAAGTTTCAAAGACAGAAATTGCCTGTATCTGCATGTATTTGTGATTTCCATAATCAATGAAATCCCAGTGTTACACTAAACACCTTTCAGGAAGGCGTCAATATCCATCACTTCAGAACTTGTCTCTCTTACCTCTTGTTCAATCTTTGTGGCTCTTGAACAAAACATTCCGCTCGCCTCTTAAAAATCCTTGGTGTAAAAGTGCCCATGTTGTTTGCCACTTTGAGCCTGCTTCTCCCTCTCTTACCAGTCCTTTGCCATTTTCATGGGCTATAATCAGAATGTTAGTGTAAAGTTTATTTTTAAACTGTTCTGGCTGCAGATATTAAAAACATTCCCAATTTATAATAACTATCTACAAATAATTCCTTGAAGTCTTTCTGACTTCAGGGTGTGGTTTTGGTTAAATATGTCATTGCTGGCAGAAAAGTAACCACTCTTAGAACAATACTCATATCTCAGATTTAGAGTGATGTTTATTCAAGGTTGTTACAATTTTTTGCACAAGGAAGGCAAATTAAGGGAGAGGTCAGTAATTACATTACAATATGTACATACTAATCAAGTGAAAATGCTTACATGGGGAATTTTAAAGAACCTTTGAAAGTAAGGTGTTAAGCCAGAGCTGAATTTTGAAAGAGCAAACTTAAAAATTATTTTGATTCAGGCTGTAAGAAATGCACAGTTCATCACGTATATTATGTAGTATTATTTCCATTACTTTAATTTTATATGAAAATATTACAATCAGAGTGTAAATGAATTAATAATTAAATCAATTAACAGTAAAGTAATTTTTGCAAATGTTTTTAATTTATAATAGCTTGTAATAATAAAAGTGTGTTGGTTTTTCTTAGACTGTGCTCTGATTGAGAATAAGAGGGGGTCAATGCTCAAGTGAGTGTGCATTGAAGCCTGCTAGGGAGCAGCAACAGAAAGTGCTGTGCATACTCCATATATTTAAATCATATGAGCATCTAAAACTTGATTAATTCCTCCCAAGACTGACATAAATTATTATAAAAATATGTATTATCAGCCTGATAAATAACATGAAAGACAAGACTGAACTGGAATATACAACTCTTTGAGTAAAATTAATGCTAAATAAAATATTACTGTAATTGATGTCATGATTTGAAAATTCCGGTGATGACTAGGGAATCAAAGTATGGTCCTTATTTGTGTTCAGTGTTCCACACTGCTTTATGAAAATAAGGTTTTTCAGGCTTGGTAAACTATAAAGTGAAAATATTTGATATTTTGAAATTCAAAATTATGCTTCTTGAATTTTGTTTCATTACATTGAAATTAAATATATTTCAAATATATTGACACACACACACACACACAAATAAGCCACTTTTAAAATGTTTGAAATACTTTTTTTGGCTTCATACTAAAAAAATTTAATACGTCTGAAACTATTTTTTATTTTGACTTTTGGGACCAGAAGTGAACTGTAAATGCCTTTAGTCATGCAGCAGTGTGGGCAAGTTTTCCATCCAGACTCCACCTCAGCTTTGCTTTTTAAGAAAATGTAATCTTAGTGTGCTACCAGTTGACCAGAAATGAGCTCAAAGGTACTGATCTGTTGTGAGAATGGCATGGCCAATGTTTTTAGGCATGAAAACTGTAATATAAAGCTCTTGCATTTGCATGTCTAGCGGGCTGTGCTTGGAGGCTGTAGCCATAACTCAGGCATCAGCAGAATATCAAACCATTTTTTCCTTCACTGAGTTTTTCCTTCACAGAAGCAACAAATAAAAATATTTTTTAAATAGCATGAAAATACTCTAATAAGTTTGAATAGTTAAATAATTAAAAGTGAAAAATGAAAAAAAAAGGTAAATTATATAGAAAAGAAAGAAATTTTATGGTGCACATATGTCTACATTAACCTATCAAAACTATGGTATAATAACACTTCTAATAGTCCAATCTATTAATATGTATCCAGAAAGTTGGGAGTATTCAGGCTGGGCATGCAAGTTCAGTTTTGCTTTCTTATAATACTAGGTAATGCATTATCAGAATCCACTAGATAAAACATGCTTATAGGAATATAACTTGAAGTGAAAACATGACATTACATTAAGAAGCTTTGGATAAAGCTGAAACTTTCAGAAAATTTTACAACTTTTTTTTAAACTTCCATGATTCCGCAGTCGAGGTTTACCTAAATTACTGACAGATATTAATATAATATAGGAAGATTATTTTTCCCCAAAAGTGAGTGAATGACATGAATGTTTAAGCACAATATAACAGGGAATTCAGGTTTTGATGCATTAATCTGTTTGCAAAGGTACTATCTTCGTGGGTAGTGGGACATTCTACTTTTAATATTGTGGAATGTATTTTTCATTATAAAAAGGTATGTTGGTTATTGTGATGTTTGTAAATATGTCATTTTTCAGAATCTGCTTTTCAATGACGGTTTGCAATGAGAATGATTACAGTAGCTTCACTTCAGCGTGGAACATCATGATCAATGCTATATCAAGGAGAACATGGAATCTCCTAATGACTTTAATAATGTCTATTTCTTTGTGGAATTTCTTTTCATTTTCTTAAAACAACGGGAACATTACTGATTGTATAACCTTATCCCCTGTCTCAGGTCTCCTAGAAACCCTGAACAGAAGATCATTAAACGAGTGATTGCTCTTGAAGGAGACATTATCAAGTAAGTATTTTAAGCCTTAGTCTCTGAGTCTTTATAGGAATAGTGCAGCTTTTCTGTGGATTTTAAATCAGTATCCTAGACAACGAGAAGTTTCTAGTATTTTCTTTCTATCTGTTCTTAACAGGGATGTCAGCATTGTACCTGTCTCCTTTTTAATGAGAGGAAAATGCTATACAAAACTGCTCACCCTGTCATGAAAAGTACATGATTATAGGGCTGTGATTTTTTATTTAGAGTCTGGCTGCTGTTTCATACTGTGGTTGGCAAGTAAATGTAGGGTGAATTTTTTAGGTTTTTGTTTGTTTGTTTGTCTGTTTCTTTTATTTATTCTTTTTTATTTTATTTTTGAGACAAAGAACCCTCATAGACAACTGTCTTCACTGCAGTATGTAGGGAATATGGTGGAACTGATTTGGAGTAAATTATTCTATCAGAAAAAAAAATTGTAGCAAGAGTGGACTCTAGAGTACCTCAAGACTTGGTTTACTCTGACAGATAGACCTTCCTACTGCTGCTGAGTGGAAATAAATTACTAGTAGATGTAAATCAAAAGTTTTTGTGGGAACACTATTGTTTTGATGAAAATACTTGTTTGAAAAGGTTTCTTTTTCCCAGCTACAAAGTAGAATTGGCATAGAGCTGGGAGGGTAAATCCCTAGTTTCTCACATTAAGATATGAATGACTGTGGGAGCTCTCAGACAATATGGCAGACTGAAACTCAATTCATTTAGGTAATGGTTCTTGCTCTGGTGTAGTGAATACTTAAGAAGTACTTTGCAGCTGCAATTCAAATCAAGGCTTTAATTGTGGTCTCAATGAACCCTAGTTAATAGCAGCACTGGTGGGCTTTTGGGCATTACGGAATTTGTCTGTGTCTTTTTTTTTTCTGTCTTGCCGTTGATATAATTTCTGTTTGATTGAAAAATTCTGAATCACTTCAATTTGAGAAATGAAAATAAATTCTGACATCTCTGTTGAAGCAAAATATCCGAAATAACAGACACTAAGATAATTTGATGTCCAAAAACTATGGACAACTACAGCTAAAACTAGCTATCACTTTAAAGAACTAAAAACATAAGAGTAGTGTATACTACTGATTGATGCCTTTTATGGACCTATGTCCTTAGGAACGTACTTGTTCCTTGATGTACTTGATATTAGTGCTGTAATTTGTATAAGTGATAAGACTGGTATTCATGATTCAGTATTCCTCGTTCATTTCTGGAGCAATGTCAGAAAGAGATAGCAATATAAGGCAACTTACTTTTCACTGTTCTATATTATTAATATATTTGTCTGAATTTTTGAAACTGAATGTAGTTTTGATAACACAAGAGACATTTAATAACTTAAATTCCAGCTGTAGGAAATTAATTATGCTGTACATTCAAATGCCTTAAGACTCTAAACTTTTCATTAACTTCTATGGGTGTTCTTGGCCAAATGGACAAAGTTGTGGGGCATAATAGCTGTGAGAGTGTGCAGAATATTGATGAACCTGTAGGATAGTGAATCACTTATGGACACAGAAGACTATATGATGATCCTAATTTGTCTTTGGTAAAACAGATTATATTAATTTATTGATAGAAATATTAATCTCAGTAATTAATATGTGTATTTTTTCTATTTGAACACATGAAAATTGTCCCAGAGCTTTTTTCTTTAATTGTAGAAACTAGTTTTTTGCTAAAGGATAAATTATTGAACTGTTACAACTTGTTAAGTCTTTATTACATGCTATTGTCCCTTAATTGTGTATCTGTAGGAGATGTAAGTAATACTTGCCACTTTTCATAGCACTAAGGCAAAGCAAAATCTTAGATAATAAGAAAAAACAGTGAAGCTGGCAAGATTTTTCTAAAATATGTACTATTTTTGTAATGATACTCTAAGCAGGTATGTGACTAGGATATTTGGAACTGAAATAGACAACTGGTAACTGAAAGCATGTCTAGGAAACATAAATAGAAGATTTGAACTCCTATTTGGTGTCTGAAGACAGTCTATTACAAACTAAAAAGAATTAATTTTGATATCTTAAGATTTTATGTCTATATATTTTTATATATTGAATTATTCCTGATCTGCATAAAATGATGCATGTACGAAAATGTATCTGAAAGTATGGGACTTTTCCCTATTATTCTCTCTTTTGGTATGAGTGAAACGTGATGCACTACCTATATATACTGACCTTAGAGGAATATTCGAACATACTCATTCTTAATATCAAGTCTTTGACATGGATTGTTTATGCCTGTATGCTTAAAACCCACTTCTTTAAGCCTTGGGCTGCTCCATTGATCAGTCAGAATTATTTCTTGATGAGGAAACATCTAGTCTCACTACAGAGCAGTGTTTTCAGTTCCAGGGTACAGAAAAATGGGAATCATCAGTTAGATATGGTGGCATTCTAGCGCTTATGGTGCTGTTTGTGGGTACAATGGTTTTGCAGAGAGCTGGTGGTTATACAGAGTTGTGTTGTGCTGGACATTTTATCTGGGTGGTCAGTGCAATGTCCAAAGTCTATCTGTTGCTCTGCAAATTTTGCTTGGTGTCATGTGACAGAATTAAGTAATGCATGCTTTCAATGGAGAGTCTTCCAGTCTTCCATTTTGAAGAAAGGTTTGCAAATAATTATGAGTTCCTGAAGATGGTTTAAATGATAAGTCTTCCAAAGGAGGCCTTATTTTAAAAGTCAATATAATCTAAATTGTTAAAAATTAATGTTGGTATTATAGAACACTTTGAATAACTCAAAATTAAACTTAATTAAAACTCATTTATCATAAATGCACTAGTGGAAATTCAACAATCTATAGTAATCTATCACGAGTGAGTTATGGTATGTTTTCAGTAACACAAATAAATGAAGTAAACCAAAATCAGGATTAAACTAGTACTAACATTTAAAATTGAGTCTGTTCAGTAACTGGCTGAACTACTTTGTTTTCCTTCTGTCTGTCACAGTTGTACAGGTCTGCAGGAGCTTGGTGTGCCAATTCGGTTTATTTCATATAATTGTTTGCTTTTTAATACTGTACCTGATTTAAGAAAGATTTGTGAGCCCCTAGGAAGAGTAATTTTAAAAAGTTTTGTCCAGGGATATTGTTAGGCTATTTCGGAGTCAGTGTTCTGAGGACTGAATGGTTCAGCAAAACGATATTGCATTTAAGTGTTGCATCTTGCAAACTCCTCTGAAGATGTGAATAAGGAAATACTCTTTGTTTCTCAAAGCATAGCAATGCAGGCTGTAAATCTAAATCAGGCTTCAGTAGTTTTGCAACTTTTACTGCAAGTTCCATCATCAAATTGCACAAACTATTGCCACAGAATGTTAGGAAGGACAGATATAAAGGGGTTTGAAAAAGGAGTAGAGAATTAGTAGAAATCAAGCCCATCAGCAGCTATTAAATGCAGCAATCACAGTATAACATCATGTTGCCTTAAAATATAACCCATACTGCTTTAAAATATAACCAAAATCTGGTCATTCTGTCCACTTGTTGGAGAACCCTTTCAGCTTCAAACTGTCACTATCCATGCAGGCGTTTGGTTACTTTTTTTTTTTTTCCTCAAAGAGTAGGTGGCTCCAGGATCCCTTCACTATTGAAAAAACAATAGGTTTTCTTACTATTTTTTTTTTTTCCACCAAGCCAGCTCTATTTCATCAGAGAGTTGTGGCTGCTATTTGTTTTCACTGAGGACCAAGGATGGTTGTCCAGCAAAACATCTATCTTCATGCAGAGAATCTACTACTTGATAGCAACTTGTGTTAGATTATACCAAAAAATTACTGCCTGCCCCTAGGAAGCAGAATAGCCTTCAGAAAAACTCAGACTTTGCCGGTGTTGTGGAACGAGAATGCTTCTATATATAACATCTTCAGGGCAACCACCTGTCAGGAATTGCATCCATCTTCTTGTTCCTGCTCCATCGCACTCCCCACCACCCTGACATACACACAAAGACTTCTTGTAACTATTCTGAGGTACTGGTGATATGGTACGGTACTGCTTGCAATGGCTCAAAGTTAGAATAGAAAAATGGAATCTCAGTAAAAGACATTGGAAGTCTAGGAATCAAAGTTGATCATGATACACAGGCTGTGTTTATGGCTCTATCCTATTCCCTTCTTTCTCAAAGTCCATTATCTTTGTCTTTGGGTTGTGAGTATAGATCTGTGAGTTTGGGTATCCACACTGACAAGAGTGCTGGTGAGATCGACAGAAACGAGAACTGATTGTACTCTACAGAGACACAGCACTGTCCTCAGAGATTACGAATTTTAGAACATCTTTTGTTTTGACTCACTACTTGCAGTCTTCATATTGTTCTGTCCTTGTACTTTATGTATCTAAAGGGTGTAGTGTCAGTCAAACTACTCCTTAGATGAAAAACTCTTAATCTTCCAAAATATTTTTATTTTGCGGCCCTGTGGACAGATTTTTTCAAGCCAATGAAAGCTTTTGTTAGGTTCCAGCCATACTGCTCTGTCATGACTCTTCAGCATTGATCGTATCCTTGCAAGTCTCCTAAATAGAGTTTCCATTGATTGTGATTCCATTTCCATATATAGAGACCTTGCATGACTGGACTTCATTTCTGTAAATGCAAATGATGGGAAGGTGTATTGGTACAGCATCTTTAAGCTATAAAAGCAATCTGACAAAGCCAGGATGAAGATTTTCTGTATCCATAATGCATTTCTAAGGTTCTGTAGACCTTTAGGCCCAGTAATGAAGGTCTGCAAAGCTGGGTTTCTAAAATTTGTCATTTTTCATACTCATAAAATATGGAGAAATATTTTTGCTTTGCATTAGATTTTGGTTGCCTAATATTTTAGGAAGGTGCATGAAGAGACAGAAAAAAATAAGAATAGAAAAGTGCATTTCAGTAAAAAAAAACCCCAAATGTGCTATCTTTAGTTTTCAGAAAATACAGAGCAAATTTTTATTTCACAAAGGCAAAAAATATGAAAATGTAAAAAATT